CTTTTCACTTTCTGGACAGGGTCTCTTAATGCAGAAGAACTTTGAATTTTGATGTTAAATTTATCTACTTTTTTGTCATGTCTGCAAAGCCACTGTTGAACCCAAGGTCATGAGGACTTCCTCTTATGTTTTCTCGAGTTTTATCTCATGCACCTCTTGTGAAAGGAAAAGTGTCTTGAGGTGAGAATGTTTACAAACTCATGCACAACAACATTCTGGAGTTCTGGGCCGTAAACAGGGAATCCCACTCAACACAACACCGAACCAGGGAGATAGCTCTGTGACTGTGGCCATCGACCATAAGAGATTATGCCCCATACAGAAGCAGCTGGCCTGAAATGGCCTGGTGAAAGCAGAGGTGAAGCACCAGCACAGAGGCAATACCCTGTAAGGGTGGAGAGTCATCTTCCTAGATGCCAGATATGCATCGGGTCTGAAACTTATGTAGGGCAGTGTCCTCAAAAGAACTCGTGAGGCTGGAGGCAAAGAGGGTGAAAACAGGAGTAGCCCCATTTACCGTCACTCCCCATGACTCACTATGGACTTGGGACTGCCTGCCTTTGCAACTTTGGGTTCTGCACGGTTACTGTTCAGACCTTCAAGGGAAGTTAATTCTTGCCAGGGACAAAGCAAAGGTCTCATAAACTGCGGCTTCTGTTGAAGCATTTAGGATTTTAGAAACCAGCAGGCAAAAAGGATTCACCATCTTGGCAGAGGTAATTGATCCTGGTCAGGAAGGAGGAGGGCTATTATTACAGAATGGAGAGAGGGAGGACTGTGTTTAGAACTCAGGTGATACACATAGGCACCTTTTTGGTATTTCCTTGCCCAACGGTGATTGTGAATGGACAAGGCAGTGAGTCATACCTGTAAGAAGTATTGCTGCCAAGAATTTAGACCTCTTAGGGATTTGGGTCTCAACACCAAATCAGTGACTAAGACCTGGAGAAGTTGGTGGTAGCTGCTAGGAAGTCAGAATGGATAATCACAGAGAGATTATGAGTGTCAGTGACAACCCCAAGCCTAACTACAGTGATGGAGCTAGTAGTTTAACTTCCTTGTTTTAATTCTTCCCTTAGGACAAGAGGCCCATTGGAACCTCAGAGAAGTGGCGCCCAGGACATGGATGGAGAAGTGGACTTATATGGCACAAGGGGCAGAAAGTGGGAGTCACCAAGTGTGCCATGCAGCTCTCCAACAGGTTACCATCCACAGGGAGGGCAGTTATTGGACAGCCTCCAATTGCAGGCGCCTTAGGATCTTCCTTCAGGTTTTAAGCTGAGGAGCTGAGATCACTTTCTGGGCAATTGAAGGCCAATGACTGAGCATCGTGTTGGTACAGGGTTCATTCTCCCTAGCTGGTGTGGGACTACTCGATGGGCGATCTTGGTGCAGGGCCTCTCTCCTAAGATGGTTGAGACTTTCTCATAACTAGAACATGGTCTGAAACTCTCTCTGCCTAATCTTATTTGTTCTTCTCTTTATCTTTCATAGGCATTACCTCCAATCAGTTTCTTGTATTTTTAACTCTATCTTGGATTCGTCTTCCCAAAGGAACTATGGCCACAGGTTTGTATATATGATTACCAGTGTAGATGAGTATATAAACTTAAAGTGATTCAAGTCATACAGCTCTTAATGGAATATTTTTTCCTACTTAAATATTTATTTAGTTTCGTGCTGAATAATATCCATGAAATCATGCCTTTGATGTGTAACTTATACTTTCCTAGTGCACACTGAAAGTATAACTATTTTTAAAAATAACTGAGGCAACTCTTACCTCACATTGGAAAAGAGCATAGTATCCTACGCATTTGCTGAGAATATATTCATTTCATAAAAATTTATTTGACCAAGAGTTAGTTTTTGAGAGATAGGCAACTTTCTACTCAAAATAAATGGAGATGTAGCTATCATCTCACCAGTAAACCAAAGGAAAGATATTGATAAAAGACAATGTCTAAGGTTGCCAGACTATGAGACACTTTCCTCTCTGATTTTATTCAACATTTTCAGCAAACCAGTAGGAGAGATAAATCCAGATAAATCTGACCTCTGGATCAAGGACCAATTCATTCCTGTGGCCTCCAAATGGGGTATGTGTGTCTTAAGAAATATTCAGGATAAATTTATTACACAGCACGATACAAGAAAATATTTTAACTATATTTTATGATTTAAAATTAAAATGCTTTACTAATAGCTCAAATAGGTTGACACTCATTCACATATTTCATATACATAAATAGGGTATGCATGGTCAAAAATTGAGACAACAGTTAAATTGTTCAAAAGTAACAAATCTTTAACCACTGTTAAATATTTTATATACTTATGTATATAAATAAGTGAGTTTATTGACATTCCAAAAAGTTTCCACACAATGGTTTTAGGGTATTCAGTAAGATGGCATATTTAATAACCAGTAACATGCACAATTTCATGAAAAGGCAACGTGGCCCAGTACATGGATGCATCAGAACCCCATTGCTTTGGTGAACCTGTACATTGACTCAGGACAGAAGGCATACTTAGAATGATACATGAAAGTGTAGATAGGAAATTCAACAATATCCTTCATCTAGAATACCTCTCATGCATATCCAAGGATAAAGCTTGGAGTTGGGAGATGTAAAAAGTCAAAATGCCACATGGTATATACAGATACCTCCATTTATTATTAGCCTGAGAACAGTGACTATTGTAATTTTTAGCAAACACCACTAGCCAGAGCCCTCCACTCCCATCATAATTGTGGGGGAAAAAATGACACCTTTTGACCATTAATTCTTAGTTCTGATGATGCTTTGAGGACTACATCAGTTGAGTCTACAGTGAAATCTTTTGTCATGAAAAAGGTTGGAATAATGATCTAATGAGTTTACATGGGATGCCTCAGTTTTGTATGCACAACTCCTCTGCTACAGAAGACTGATTATAAGACATTTTTACAATACACATATATTTACCAGGAAACCTGTAAGGTAGGATTCATCCTAAATATATCCAGAGCTAGGTGAAAAATGCCTAGCCATTATATTCCAGATATTTGCAAGTGCTAACAAGATCAATTTTATAGAGTATATCGATTAGAACACAGGAGTAGGTAATGTTAGAACATTCATCCATTTGCTAATCCAATGTATAGTTATGGGGTACATGCTTTTTGCTATGCTCTTTAGTAGGCACTGGAGAGCTGCAAACAAAGAGAGATGGCTCCTCTCTATAAGCCTTACATCCTAGTAGAGAAGAGGACAAATACAATGAGTACATACAATCTATGCTATTTCTGTTTATGCTATATTTAAAATGTATGCCATAAGTGCCTAGGAGAAATGCAGGAAAGGAGGAGTGTGCTGCCATGGGATTCAGGGTGATAACTGAGCAGAGACCCAAAGAGGTGAGGGAGCAAGTCATGCAAGTACTTGAGAGAAGAATGCTCCAGAGAAGGCAACTAGTAATGACCTACTGCCCAAGGCACAGTTAGTACTCTCTCAAAAAGCTGAACTTCAGAGCATTCAACAAAGTCCAGATTTGATCTAAAGGTGATCACCTCCCCTTAACTCTGGACCACTCCCCCACTAATCTGTTACATTGCCACCTGACACTGGCTTACTTAGTAACAAACCTGAAGCATCATGATGTTAATGATAAGAACCTTCATGACGATAGCTTAGAATTCCAGATTTTGGCAAAGGCAGAGGCAGAGATTCAGAGTTTATGTATAAAGATCAAATGGGGAATCTCAGACTAAAGAACCCTTCTGCTGTCAGCTCCAGGGCTGATCAGGAAGCCAAGCTAATTCAGGAAAGAGCAGACTCTTGATGTAAGTCAATGAGGAGTTGACAATGTTGATGTAGACAAAGGAGGAGACTGAAGCCCCACAGCCCATGTCAAGATTAATGGACTAGAGAAACAGGCAGTCAAATGCTCTGGGGACCTTTGCAGACCAAGGCTGCCTAACTCTTCCCTTATATGGCAGGTTTGGCTTAAATTCTTACAGCTAAACTCATAAGTCCTTGGTTATGATAAAAAAAAAAGTTCTAAAAGATGGCATCTATCCCAAACATTCTGCTAAAAACTTCTTTAGGGGGAAAGGGTTATATATATTAATATCATATATATGTAATTTTATATATCATATATATATTTTTATAAATATGTAAAATCGTGAACTGAGGGATGCATAGCCATTCAGTGCCTGGACTTTGGAGCCAGACTACTAGAGTTCAATGGCAGCTTTCCCTCTTGGCAGGCACATGACCCTGGGTGCTTCATAGGTCTGTTTTTAGTTCCCTCATCTTTTTTTAATTTTTAAAAATATTTTAGGTTATTTAAACAAATAACAAATACTTGTTTTATTCATTTTGAGAGAAAGCATGAGCGGGGGAAGGGCAGAGAGAGGGGGAGAAAGAGAATCCCACGCAGGCTCCACATTGTCAGTGTGGAGCCCAATGCAGGGCTCGACCTCATGAACCGTGAGATTATGACCTGAACCAAAATTAGGAGTTGGACACTTAACTGACTGAGCCACCCAGCTGCCCAGTTCTCTCACCTTTAAGAGGAGATATTATCTACCTCATGGAGTTCTCATGATAACAATGATGAGCAAATATTTGAAAGAAATGCTTAGAGCACTGCCTGGCATATATTAAGTACTATATAAATGCTTAATTTTAAAATAATTAAAAATTAATAATTTTTATATAAATGCTTTAATTTTAAAATAAAATAGATCATAATTTTAACTTCCTTTAAAATATGACTTCCAAAAACTTACCTCTTTGACCTTCATCAAAGAAAAAAGGCTCACTGACATTTCCTGAGAGACCATCTTTTACATAGAAATATTTAAAGCAGGATTTTTATATGGTAGAAGTCTAGAAATTCCAAATATGTCAAGTTTGTATCAAACCTTTAACTGAATTTCAAAGTGAATTGTGTAAAAAATAGATGACCCAAAAAGATTATCAAATGAATACTTTATTAGAGTCATAACACTTACAAAATAAATTTCTCTTCATCATGGAGTTACCATATTTTAAAACCAACCAACACTTTCTCATTTCTACAGCAGATATAAAGAAATTCTCAGATGCCATAATTTTTGTTCAAGTGCTTTGTCACTCAACTCACAAATCCAGAACACGATTAATCTACAAATATAAGAATTCACAGTCAGAGGAATTTTAGGCTTGGTTCTTAATGATCTAGAAGCAACCCATTTACAAAAGCGCCACCAAAGCCATTTCATGAAATCATTTAATTTAATGCCACCAAGCATGAACCTGTTATACTTTGGAAACAAAAATAAAATCTCACAACTAAATCTAGCAGACTAAACGATTCCCACTTGAATGGACTATATATCCTTATGGCACATTTATGACTTTGTAATATACAATTCATAATACAGGTTTAAGTGTGTGGATGGTGCTAGAAAATCCAAGGAAATCAGGTATTATAGGAAAAATACGACATGAGTTTAACGTCGTAAGGATGATTTCTTCTTGCCACATACTGAAACACTTCTTTACGTCACAAACCGAACTCTAATAAGATTCTTCTTTCTAGGAGATTATTATATAAGCAGCATCTGATCACTGAGCATCGATCATGTTATTCATTCAGGATTGTTCTATGTTCCATGAAATCTAGTAGCACAACTTATACATGGCACTCTTAGGGGATGATTGAGCCAAAAAAGCAAAGGGGCAAAAATTTAAAACTCTCAAAGGCCTTCTATTTTTGGAGGTAGCCCTCCTGGGCAGGACATAAGTACCCTGCTTGGATATGTTGTGGGAGCTGGGACCTAACTCTTAATTGCCATTGAAGCCATTTTGCCATAACCAGCGTACCTCTAACAGATATATTCAAATATTTTCTGTGCAATTCGGCCAGAGACAAGTTGTTATGATGGCTACTGTTTTAAAATGGATTCTGTACATCTGTCACCAATGCAAACCAACATAGATATTGGGGCTACTATCAAAACGTGTAAGAAGTTACAACTGTAAGTTATATTTAGTAGTCTACTGAAATGTAACCCAAAGTGATGTAAAAGAATGAGAAGTAAAAAGTTAACTCTTCAGGGAGCTCTATTTGGTAGAGCCTCACATATCCACACACGAATATTCCCATGTTCATGCACAGGGACAAACAGATTATTATGCTTATTCTGAAGCATAAATGAGTCCAAAGTAACACAGAAGTAGACTGAGACCAGTTCCATGGAGGTGAAGGGTCTCTGGAGATCTCATTGTAAGGATGCCAGATGACAGGTTTGCTCAATTGCTATGAGACCCTTGGTGTGATTAGGCAACTAGGATTTAGTTCATAAATTACCTTGTCCTATACCCAGGACTCTGCTTGAGCCACCATCCACCACCTCGAGGGGAAGCACTTGACCATTAACACAAAGGTGATATGATTATTGCATAATGAGGCTAAATATTATGTGGCTTATCTAGTTTTATAGCTTTCAGGATCAGTTCAATAAAATACATAACATAGAACTATGATTTTACACCAGAGGTCGGCAAACTATAACCCACAGGCCACGGGCCAAATCCAGCTTGCTGTCTGTCTTGGCAAATAAAGTTTTGCTGGAACGCAGGCACGCTCATTCACTGATGTGGGGTCGATGGCTGCTTTCACAAAGTAACAGCAAGGCTGAGTAGCTGCAACACAGCCTGCAGGGCCCACAAAGCCATCTGGACCTTTATAGAAAAATGCTGCCAATCTCTGTTTTAAACTAAAAGACAGAGTTCAGTGGGAAGACTATTTAAAATGTGTCTTTTTTTCTTTTCCTTTAGGAAATGTTAGTTACCTAGTAAAATTAAGGTTTAGGTGACTCAATAACGAAACCAAAGAGACACCCTTTTCTCATGAACAATATTGGTATATTTTATGGATATAAGGGAAAATTTTCTTAAAAAAGGAAAGAGACCGATGTAAAATTAAAGGCCACTTCTCTGTTTAACATCATTATAAAATTAAAATTCCATCCATGAAATGAACCAAAACTTGTCCTTAGGTTTTCTCTATATATAAACAAATTGCTTTTGGAATGTTATTATATTTGGACAAAATGATATCCAAATCCATCAGACACGTAAAGTAGACAAATAAAACCAACACATGGACCGTTAGTTTCTAAGGAGTGTCACGGTCGCCATCTTCGTAAAGCCAGACCCAAACTGCAACCATAACAGGCTGTCGTCACAAAGGCAAAAATCTAAGAAAAAGGAAACAAAAGCTCACATCAGATTCATAACACTGACTTTAATTAACAAAAAACAACACTCATCCTCAGGAACAACTATCTGAAGACTGAGCAACCTACCTAGAGATACTTCAACACTTATGAAAATGGTTTCTATTCTACCATTTAATTAAATGTACTACCATTTAATCCCCTCACATCATTAACCCCTCTTTTAAATATTCTAGCCCCTAATAATGTTCTCATTTGTGGACAGCCCTAGCTTGAACATTTGTTCACATGTAGACTCACTTAAGTATTTGTGAAACTCTCAACACAGTATTCAAAAGTTCACTACGAGGTGTCTATTCATACAATGATCTCACAGCCAAGAAAACTGTAAGTATTAGAGCCTGAGGATGTATAAAATCCTTCCTGTGACAGTGGAAAGGGATTTTAGAAGTAAACAAAGAAAACCCATAGAAATGAATCAACAGATTCATTTGGCCTGGGAGAAAGTTCTGAAATCGGCACTGAAGTCTGAATTACTATCCTTACGATTTGACAAGGATTTCTTTAGGAACAGCTATGTGTACATCAGTGCATTTGGTGCATAAAAACAAACAGTATATATTTAGTATATATTTATAAATAGTGGATATTATCTTCATCCTTTTCAAATTCATAATCCATAGAAAACTATAAGACAAAGCAATTAAATATGATAAAACATTATGATTTAGTGCACGGATCCTTTACCAGAAAACTCTAGCTCTGAGAGGGAATATCAGATTCACCTACAGAACACAACCATTCTCTAATTGCCATTCTGCTTTTCTCCCCAGCTTTCTTCTGCTGGTTGTCTTTCTGAGGCATCTCTCATCTAGACATCGTGTGCTGAATGAGAATGACCACTGTTGATATCTATTGTTAGTGAAAATAAATTTTCCTCTCTCAGGTATTTTGAAATAAAAAAAATTTAAAAAAAAAGTGAAGGACTCAATATAGGGTCACAAAAGAACGGCTCATACACTTAGGTATTATTAAAACTCAAAAACTAAAGATTCACTTCTATGGGAGCATATGGATAGGATGCTACGTAACACAGAAGGGAAGAGTGTAGAGGTTTACTAAGGCAGTTTCACTTAGGCACAGGGAGAGGAAGGATAACAGAGACAAAGTCACAGAAGAGGGTCAGCCAGGATGGAATCACACCACGGCAGCACTGAAAACTGGGCTCCTAGGACAAAGGAACGTTAGTGAGAAATGAATGACATCCACCATGGATCACCAAGTCCTTGAGCACCTGCTACGCTATGAAAGTAGGATCTTATGGCAACTATAAATAGACCATTTTGGTGCTACTACCAGGATCCGGGAGGTGTTGAGAATACAGCCTGCAGCGCTAAAAAGGAGGGGACGGAAGTAATAAGGGAAAATTCAGTGAGAATTGAGGACTAATAGGAAGGACACTTGGAAGAAAAAAAGTGAATTCCAAGTCCCTGAACGTTTCTTCACTTCGTAAAATTGTTAAAACCAGTGGCTTTCTAGCTGTGGTCTCTGATAATAAGGGCTCCTTGAAAGTGCCTCAGAGAAGATGAGGCTGACAGATGGGGCTTAAGAGAAGGAAGGACATCTTCTCCCAATCCAGCAAGAGCACCCGTGCTCTTGCCTTCTGTACTCATTGGGTTTTCAGGAAGATTTCATTTAGTAAAAGTTTCATTTCCTATAAAAGAAAGTCTAAAAATCACTGATCTAAACTATAAGCCCTTCAGAGCCAGAGCCATGCCTCCTTTCTGTCTAATCATTGTAGACACTCAATGAATTCTGACCAATTCTAACAGAGGCTTGGGAACCTGATGATAAGACGTGTTAGAATCACAACACCTCTACCCTTCAAAACCCAGACTCTAGACCTGAGCTGTCCAACAGCCACAGCTACATGTGGCTGTTTAGACTGAAATGTAAATTAATTAAAATGAATTAATTGGATTAATTAGTGGCCACCATGTTAAATAGAACATACAAAGAACATTTCTATAATTTTAGTAAGTGCTGTTGGGCAGCGCTGCTCCCGAGAGATTTTAATGGCTGTGCGGGGAGTCCTATCCGCACAGAAGAGTAAAACTTCGGGGTCACTAACTTGCTATTGAGTCATATTAAATATCAACACATTTCAGGGAATAATTTGGATTTCTGGCACTTTCAAGATTATAAAAACAGAAATAATATATTATTTCTTTAAATTATTTACATCAATACAAAGCAACAAACTCACTTAAGTATATGGATTAAGGAAGATAAAAACATTCAAACTATTCTCCACGGCATGTATTTCTTCCACGTGTCATCTCTTGTACCGGCTGGCATATTTACCCCCCTCATTCACGGGGACTTTCTCCAGTGGCAGAAACTGTACCTTGTTCATCCCTGTCCCCAACACCCAGCAAACTATCTACCTCGTGGTAGGCTCTCCATAAATATTTGCTGAATTGAAATGAATTACAATTAAGATAAAGACGAATTACCACGTCTGGAGTTACAGGAAGTAAAGAGCACTATGAACTGTTTTCACAAAGTAAACTCTGTTGTGCCACACCAGCCACAACCACAAACTGGCTGTGATCTTACAAGAACGTCAGCCTCTGTGCTTCAATGTCATTGACTACAACACGAGGGGTAACAGTAGTACTTTGCCAGGCAGGCTATTATATAGATAAATAGCTAGTAGGTGTTTAATGCCAATGGCTATTATTAGAGAAAACTACTGCTGCCTGAGGAGTTTCTGGGAGACCCGACAGTGAATATGCGGGGGTTGCTGGTGACCTGGCCTCCTCGACACTTACTGTGGCTGCTACGTTTATGTTATACTGGTTATCGCTCAAGAGCGGCTGCACAGCCATGGTCATATTGCAACGCAGGTCATGCAGGGATGTGGCCGCTGCTTCCAGTAAAAAGGCTCCAAAGTAGAAGACAAACATGGTAAAATGGTATGCAAAATCCTGATAGAGGAGACAAAAAAAGACAGCTACAATTAAAAGTAATCCTTTTTTTTTTTTTTTCCTGTTCCTTATTTCAATTGATGAGGTTTAGGCCCAGGAAGCTTAGAACATTGAATCAAACAATCTTTAACCATACTCACCATTTATTTTGGCTGCTTGACCAACATCAAGCTATGAAAATCCAAAGGAAAGTCAACCGACTCGCTGTAATCAGCATAGTAGCAAACCTTCTGATACACTGAATTTTATAGTAAAATATATAAATTCAGTGTAGAGGAAGATGCCACAGAGATTGATATTAACTAATATTGATATATATAATCTAATATTAACTAAAAAAGGAATAATGTACGCTGTTCTTAAAATTCAAGTAAAACCACATTTAAATTACATCTTGTTTGAAGCACGTGGGCGGCTCAGTCCATTAAGCGTCCGACTCTTGGTTTGGCTTGGTTCATGAATCTCGCAGTTTGTGGGCTCTGTGCTGACAGTGCAGAGCCTGCTTGTAATTCTCTCTCTCTTTCCTTCCTTCTGTCCCTCCCCAACTCGCGCGCACTCTCTCTATAAATAAATAATAAACTTAAAAAAATTATACCTTGTTCTTATAGTTCCTAGATAATTGTATTACTGTTGTACATTATATAGTTACATTACAATATACACCCATTTATAATTAAGTCTTTTATTTCTGAGCAATTATGATTTTCATCCATGAGATTTTCACTTCATACACTGAAGAATGGAGATGACCTATGATATCATAGAATTCAGTAACTTCTAAAAAAAACAAATATTATATCAGATTTCTACAGAAAGCACAGGAACTTCTAATACAACGTAATAGTCATTAGGTGATTCCTTATGTTGCTGGCTTTGTGAAGCATAACTCTACTGGAATTCACATCGTCATATGTGAACTGATGATATCCATCAATACATTGCTATGTGTGTCTGTCAACAGCTCCCAGACACCAGGTACTTTACGCTCATTACCATTCATCCTTATGACTACCATTTATTATTCCCATTTTACAAACATAGGATTTTCTGTTTTGTTTTTTAATTAAGTAAATGTTCTTTTAAAAAAAATTTTTTTAATTTTTATTTTTGAGTGGGAGGGAGGGAAGGGGGGAGAGGGAGAGGGAGGGAGAGAGAGAGAGGGAGAGAGAGAGAGAGAGAGAGAGAGAGAGAGAGAGAGAATGCGTGCATGAGCACGGGAAAGCAGAAAGAGAGGGAGACACAGAATCTGAAGCAGGCTCCAGGGTCTGAGCTGTCAGCACAGAAACTGACATGGGGCTCGAACCCTTGAAGCATGAGATCATGACCCAAGCCGAAGTCTGACAGTCAAAGAACTGAGCCATCAAGATGCCCCTAATTAAGTAACTGTTCTAAAGTCATACAAAGATGAACTTCTGAAAGGGGAACTCAAAGCCACATAGGTCTGTCTGGTCCCAAATTCCACTTTCTTTCCTCTATCAAATGGTCTGTTATTGATACAGCAACATTACAGAGAAAGAACACTGCTCTGCCTTTGTAAATGCCTATTCAGCAAAAAAATTGTCCATACAAATTGTTCTTACCCTGCCTAGAATAATAAGGAAAAGTTAACCCACCAGGAATGAGAATTACAAAGGTACACACTAAAAATGCTTTCTGCTGAACACCTTTAATTTATAAGCGAACTCATCAGTGCCTTCAAAAGTTTTAAGAAGAGTGTTACATACTGACCATGTGTTTAATCTACAGGAGGAATGCTGAGATACATGTAGCTATTCAAATGTTAATCGATGAAAGTCAAAGTCTACATGTCACTACTTTTAGGGATTAAAAATAATAGAGCTGGATTTCAATTAGTAATAAAGATTGAGAGGATATATTTGAGATCATTAGCCACTCAACTAATTTACTGCGGTGGACCCTCAGAAGCAGCTCGCAGCATCTCAGAAGGGACGGAGTTTGGGGACAAGGCCTCCCACTTTTGGTCTGATGAGGCCCCTCCTCTTCCTCACCAGCCTCATCTCCTGCCACCCTCACATCTCTGTGATGTGACACCGCCTCGGCCGCATTTTGGTGCTAGGGAGCACTCCAGGCCTCAAGACTGATGTTCCTTACACGCAGTGTCGTGTGGCTGGAGAGACTCTTCTCACAGAGAAATTCCCGCCTAATTTTACCTTCTCCCTCCTTCTCAGGAGTATCAGAATTGACCTGTGGTAAAGGCTTCCCTGTCCAACCCATTTCCTTCCCTCTTCATCTTTTATGGTGTTAACCACCCAGTAAACTTCGTGCACTCCTAATTGTTTGGCTTGGGCCATGCTATCCAGCTATCCATATTATGCTAGGGCCACATGTATCCTAAAATGTTGGCAGAAAAGAATCAAATTCACGGCAACACTGGGGAGAAAATCACCACGTAGGCTCCTGGAGTTCCAGAGTCAGGCAGGTAACCTGCAGTGGGGAGTTACATGTCCTTGTAAAGCAAGTTGCTCTGATGTTCTACTGGGCCCTCGTGGAGAAGGGGCATTTTTGTCTTGAGATACCAAGGACTAAGTATTCAGAACTTCCCACCATCAACTGAGTTCTGTCAAAGCCACGACCCATAAAGTCAAACAGGCCAACAGCAATGCTTAAGATGGAAATGGCACATCAGGTGCTAGCCCGAACCCCCAATCACCTACCACAATGGAACTGTCTCCTTTCCTCACTCATACCTGTGGCCGTATGAGGGAGGGGTTCCCTTATGTCTAGCTGAAAGAGAAAGAAAGTACCTGTGCTTCTTCTGGAGGCATGATACGTGGCTGTAAGGTGACAAGGGACAGTGGCTGTATCATATGTGCTTTGTAGCCACAGTCAGGGTTGGCTTTGAAAGACAGTGGTTAGGGAATATTTTCCTAATGGGTGGAACTGTGAATGGTGCGATAGGTCATGTACTTTGCTTGGGAAGCACAGTGGCCCAGGGTGAGAATATACAGAGACTCTAGGTCAGTGGTAATGGTCTGGCAGGCTGGTCAGAGGCCTGGGAGAATAAAAGACTGAGAGTTCTGAGACAAGGGAGTATGGAGCAGGGAGGTGGACATATTGGATTTGGCATGAAGTGTGATCTATCTGTCACATGGTGATGCCTACCAGAAACATCCATGCATGGAATGCCACATAGAAAAAATGACCCAGCCAGTTGATGAGAGCCAGGCTTTGTCACCAGCCACTTGATTACTGCCATTCTGGACCCAAGAGCAGAATGACCATGGTTGGGAGGAGGAGGCTATGTAATGCCCAGTACCACTGGCTTCCAATTGCCAAAGCTGATTTAGCTACTGACTCATCTGAATGTTGAACTTGTCAACAGCAGACACCAACTCTGAGACTTTGATATAGCACAATCCTTACCTAGTAGCAAACTGATAAAACCGAGCCCCTGGCTTCCTGGAAGGCATATGGTTCATTCTCACAAAACAGACACTCATTCTGAGTACGTATTTGCTATTCCTTCCCTGAGAGCCTCAGCCACCACCATTATACAGGGACTTACAGAATGCCTGATTCACAGGCATCTACTCAACAGAGCATGTGACTAAGGGGCCAACTTCTCAGCAAAGGAGTTGGGATGGGCCATGACCATGAGCTGTGCCATATACTGCACCATTCACAAGCTGCTGGCCTGAGAGCATGATGGAATGACTGGCTGAAGGCACAGTTTGGAGAATGTGTGGCCATCTTTTGGGACGCAGGAGAAACGGGGAGGATGAGTTTTCTACATGGTGTTATTTCTCCACTGGAAGAATGGGAAACCAGGGGTAGAAGCAGGAATTTCTCCACTTACCATCGCTCCCCATAACCTGATGACTTTGTGAACGCTGCCCCTGCAACTCTGGGCTCCGCATGCCCAGAGGCCCGGTCCCCAAAAGGGCATACTCCTGCTGGAGGATACAGCAAGGGTCTCACTGAGCTATAAGCTATGGTTCCTGCCTGCGAATTGTGGGAACAAAAGGCAAGAGGAGGAATCACCATTTTGACAAGGGTAGCCTGCCCTTATCATCAAGGGAGGGTAAGGCTGTGGATACACAGGAGGGCAGTATATGCAGAACTCAGGTGACCTTGCTGTGGGAACTCTCTTGCCCAATTGTGACTAAAAATGGAAATTGCAGCAAAACAGGGCCATGGTTACTGGGGGCTCACTTCCTCAGGAGGGTGGGTTTGGATGCCACTTCCAGGTGAACCACCAAGACTAGCAGATGTGAGTGTCCAGCAAGGGGGGTAAGATGGTTTGTGGAAGGAGGAGATGATGAGTGCCGATGAGACCAATGCCAGTTAGAGGGGCTGTGGTCTGTCCACCTGGCCTCTCTCTCTAAGTGCTCGTTCAGGAAGAGAGTCCTGGAAGAGCAGTTCCTCTGACACATATAGAAAAGTGGACCCACCAGAGCAAGAAGTAGACAGTAGCCTTGGTAATCATGCACTGCACGCATTCCCCTTTAAGAAAGAACCTGACATTAGCTGACAGCTTTGGCTTCAGTGGGTTTGGGATATACTATTGTGTTTGAGCTGCCACCATGTTCCTCCTGGCAGTCCCCAGCTAATGATGACAGAGTGGGGATACAGGTGCTTGGCCACTGTTGCCCAATACAAGACTTTTACAGCAAAGACCGTGCTCGTCAGCTTCTCATTAACTTCGCCAAGGCTGTCAACCTACCTCCCACTCTAAGACTTTCCTGCTTTACCCTACTTCCTTGCCCATTACCTTTGACGGGGTTATCTCTTCCCCTCCATCTCAGAAAAAAAAAATCTCTTGCACTTTTAAATCCACTTTACAGTCTGCTTCTCAGTGGACCAGAGACTGGACCCTGAACATTCCCCCTGCTTGGCCATTAGCATCATTTTGATTAGCACATCAATTGTGTAACCATTTCTTTACTGCCTCTGCCTACGACGACAAACCCTCAGAGCCAATACAGGCCTGTCTTGTTCACCACTGTATTCCTAGAACCTATGCAGGACCAGGTATGTAT